AAACACAAAAGGTCATGCCATGAGACTTGCTCAGAAAGTGCTCTACCTGTAGCTTCCTACTCAAAGAAAAAAACCTAAAAAAACTTAGAAATCATGTAAGTTCTAAATCATAACATAAATATGAATGAGAACAACTCAGCTTAGCTCAAGAAAGTTACCAATGGATGCAGGGAAGAATTATGAGAGGAATAAATACATCAGTGATGGTCCCAAGAGACTTAGAAAGTAACTTAAGAAAAGGAAAACTTTAAGAATCAAAAAGCAATGAAGACAAGGATGAGAACAGTTTATAAGAGAAAGACAAATTTCATAAGTCTAGAGCCTCCATTTATAGTTTTAAAAAAATCTGAAGAAGGATTTCACAGTAAGACTAGAACAATTAGCAAACCTTTCTGAAGTAGCAAAATATTTGAAACTCCTTATTGAAGATGTATACCATGCACTTGAAAACATCAGCCAAAAATTAAGAACCAAAATACATATCAGACAAAGAGCAGGACTTTAAATTAATATATATATATATATATATATATTGTTCAATATATATTGATATTGATATTTGGGACTCTTAAAAGAACAGCAAGGGGTTTGTAAAGGAAAGTGCATTTGATTATTGTTACTCTTCGGCAGTCATGTTTTATCTTAGAAGAAACTAGAATAGCATCTATCGGGAAAGGGTAGGTGAGTCACTTTTTTATAACCAGGAAAACTGACTTTGAAGTTTGAAAGGACAGAAAAAAATAATTGCAAAGTGCCTTCTCCTAAGTAACGTGGTAAGGAACGGGTTCCCACAGACCTTTTCCAAAGAAACTACCACCAGAGGGGCCTTAGACAGTCATCGACCTCCCCACAGGCCAGGCACACTGACAGAGCCTTTGGCGGTAGGCATTCTTCCGTGAGAGCTGAAGCAGCAGAAGGATGAAATGAGGAGTCGGGAATGCTCTAGCATTTTGGTCTGGCAGTGTGGGAATCATGAAAACGTACTGATGCATAGAAGGGCGGGCAGCTGTGCAGACATTCTCCCACGTTCCCTGGCTGTCTTGTGCTTGCGGCAGTTGTGCTGAGGCGACTGGGGAGGGACATGTGGAACACGCTGCCAGCCCTTTGGCCTTGGCAAGCAAGAGTCTTGAAGTGAGATGGAGATGAAGATGTCAGTTTGAATTTAAATAGAAAACCGATTTCCCATTCAGAAAAGGTTCTGGGAAATGACTGGCTCAGTAGCAATAAACACCATAGCTGAAATCTAGAGTATGTTCTTTTTTTTTTTTTTTTTGCTTGATCGTGGGGCTTGAACTCTGGGCCTGGGTGCTATCCCTCAGCTCTTCACCTCAAGGCTAGTTAGTGCTCTACCATTTGAGCCACAGCACCACTTTCAGTTTTCTGGTGATTAATTGAAGATAAGAGTCTCACAGACTTTCCTGCCTGGGGTGCTTTGAACTGTGATCCTCAGATCTCAGCCTCCTAAGTAGCCAGGATGACAGGTGTGAGCCACCCGGCCTAGATTATGTTCTTAAAAAGTCATTTGGCAATAAATAAACCAGGACTTCTTGGAAAACATTGTTGATTGAAAGGAGAAGTAGATTGGAGTGTCTTGTCCTTCAGACACCAAGGAACTCTGCCAGTGAATTCAGGGGTTATGAGCCAGCCTGCCAAACTTCCTAAAAAGTGAGCATTTGGCCTGCAATAGGAATAACAATTGCAGTAGACTGAGATCCATCATATATGGAGGTCATAATAGAAACTCTCAGTAGAAGTCGAAAATCAAGTATTTATCCTGCCCTTTGCTTGCAAACGATAGCACTAGTTAACCAAGTCACATAGGAAGGAAAGCTCTTCATTAGATACATTTTTTAAAGCTTTCCAACAAATAACTTGAAATGACAGTCTTGCAAACTGAATGGATGCTGACATCATAAAAAACAGAGAGTTACTGAGTAGTGAGTCCCTCATGGTGACAGAACGGATGCCACCGATAGCCCTGCTAAAGGCCCAACCCATCTCTACCAGAGACCTCTGAATCCAACCGCCACTACATGGGGAAGAGGACAGGAAGCTGCACTGAACTGTCCAGAAACACGCCCATGCTGGATTCATACTCCCCAAAACTGGAGGAAAAGTTCTCCAGGTCCTCTGACTTAAGACATTGCCCCCAAAATTGGCAAGACCCATCAATTGGTAAGTCCTTCTAGGCCAAACATCTTTAATTCTGTGAAAAGAATGAATAGCTGGAAACAAAATTTTGTTTTATGTCCTCATTTTTTGTTGATTTGTTTTATTTTGTTCTCAAAAGAGTGAACCCAAGGCTGTGTACAAGCTCTACTAATGAGCTACCCCCCAGACTTAGCCACATCTTTTTAATGAAAAGTTTAAGACTATTGTCAGATGCCAGTGTCCCATGCCTGTAATTCTAGCTATTCTAGGGGCAGAGATCTGAAGATCATGGTTCAAAGCCAGCCCCTTGAATCTTTTATTTCTAATTAACCACCAAAAAGCCAGAAGTATAGCTGTAGTTCAAGTGGTAGAGTGCTAGAACTGAGAAAACAATCTCAGGGACAGTGCCTAGGTCCTGAGTTCAAGTCCCAAGACTGGCACACACATGCGTGCGCGGGTGCGCGCACGTGCGTGTATACACACACACACACACACACACACACACACACACACACACACACACGAGTCTAAGACTCTCATCTTTGTATTTTTGAGTATTTAAATTTATTTGTTTTGTTAATTAAGTCAAGAAACTATGTCCTAATGGAATTGAATGTTTTAAGCTTACTAGTAAAGTAAAACCACAAGCCAAACTCTTCTAACTAATCTTTCTGCTTTGTCAGGGCAGAGTCTGTAAACATAACTACTTTCTTTTTAATCCCTATATCTTTGATGCAGTTAAGTATCGAGAGATCATGTTCTGGTTTCGTTCATAACTATAATTGACAATTTCTGCTACAAAATCTTCCTGAAATGGATCCGTGTGTGCCTCATGGTTTGGTTTTCAGGGCACTGTCAGAATCTTTTGGGGCCAGCAGAGGGCACTCCAGAGCAGTGTAGCAAAGCGGTCTCCTTAGCTAAAAGAAATACGCAAAGCTATACTGCAGCCACAAGAGACATTAAGGAGTGATAACCACTGTAGGTCTTCACCATTAAGAACAGCCTGAACATGTTTAAATGCATATATATTGTATCAAATACTTAAGCCTGTATCTACATATATGTACTTGTAGAATTTGAAGTTCTTTGATTACAATATTATGTCTCCTTCCACTCACTGCTTCTGTGGTAAATCTCAAATTTGAAAACAGGGTTGGGATGTAGCTCAGTGACAAAGTGCTTGCCTAGCAAGTGCCGTGTCCTGGGTTCAATACCCAGTACCAAAAAAAAAAAAAAAAAAAAAAAAGTAAAGCCAAAAATTTGAAAATAGTTCTCAAGTACTCTTTTGTACTATGAACGCTCTATCTTACTTTAATAAATTCAAATTCAGGACAAAAACTGTAGCCTTTAGCCACTTTGTGCATGGTGAAAATCATGGGGAATTGCTTGACAGTCCTCCCCAGCCCTGTACTGGCATGGGTGTCTGTCTTAGTAGTCTCTGGCTCTATTAGCAAGGCAGGAGGAGGTGGCTGGGTTTGTACAGCTGCCTGTTGCAGGGATGACAAAGAAGGCATGTCCCCAGCCATCAGGATGGAAGGTGGGGGGGGCTGGCCTGTGCTGCCAGGCTTGCACTGAGCAGACCTATGCTCAGCCTGGTGATCTCTAGTTCCATCCCGATTGTGGCTAATACCATAAATAATTTCACTCCTGTTTGTGGCCAACTACTATTCCAGCGGGCCACATTTCTTCTCTTTGTTTTGTTTGACAATCCACCTAGCAGAGCACATGTACAGACCCTTGTCACCAAACTAACACCCTGTGGCTTGTATTTGTAACTCTACCTACTGCTACCTTTGCCTGCAGAAGTACTGCAAGGCCCAGCCTAACTTCAGCTTCCTCCATGAGGTCATGGCTAACGGTTCCAGACTTCCCTTCGTTCCCCAGCTGCACTGTGAAAGCCCCTGTCGTCCTTTCCACTGCACATATAGTGCAGCACGTGACCCTCTGCTGTGTCATACTTTGCACTATTGACACCTAGCCTGGGCTTCCTTCTAAGGCTGTCATGTTCTAGAGTCAGCTGATCTTGATTCCTGACAATCCTTTGTCTTCCATGAGCCACAAGCATTCCTGCCCGGTGCCCAGTCAATCCAGTCTATTGGTGACAGTGAGCAACTCACCATCCCCTTGCTGGTTCCACTCCGGCTGCTGGGAGTTACCTTCCCATTACTTGTTTTGATGAGTCCACCCTGATAGTACATTTCCTGTTCTCCCCCTGCCCTTCTCTGTCCATTCTCCACCTTGCTCGCCTGGCACAGTTTTAACTTATACAACTAAGAAAAAAGACAGAGTCAGGTGTATCTTCTGGCTTGTATTCAGCCTCTCAGATTTGCCCATCTTCATTCTCTTCTCAGGGACAGGTTTTATCACTGCCAACTCCAAGGAAACCTTGCCAGTTCCTCTTCCGTGTCCCTATGCCAAAAGATAAAACAACTTCAAAACTCATGTTCAAATTTATCATCACAGGCTGAGAGCCTTACAACAAGACAACAATGTGCATTGGAGAATGGCTTCCTAAACAGTAGCAAATAAGTCTTGGTTTCAACTTTAAATTCTTTGGGAAACAGAACCCTGTTGAGGTCCAGGACAGTGGCATTGCTGGTGACGTGTGGCCAGCTCATCCTGCTCCCTGTCCGTAGCTGTGATGCGTAGCTCCACTGGCGCATTTGTAGTTCTGCTCACAGAAAAGTAAAAATAGAATATTAAATCCCAAAATTAGTCATGTGATGATGCTTAAGTGAAAAATGTTTATAGTTAATGGGTTAATATCTGAACACTATCAATTTAATAATTGCCCAATATTTCATTCTATTTGCTTTCCCAAAATAAATTACTTTCTTATTTTTTTTCAGTTTCGCAAGTCTGTTTTCAGCATCAGGGCAAGGAACCTTCTGGAAAAGGAGACTGCAGTTACCAAGATCCTAAGGTAACTCCGATAAATATTGTGACATGGTTGAACACAGGTAGGGCCATGTTAATGACTATGTTTTCTGAACTAATTTCCTGGATATTGATATGTATTTTCTCTTAGAAAGTATGTTTTGAGCATCTACATACTTATCAATAATGTCAAATACATCACCAGTGTCTTTCTGAAGAAAGCATAATAGGACATGTCTTTTATGTATCATATATTTTAAAATAAACAATAAGAACAAATATTTGTGAAAAGATGGCAAAACTTGTCATTATTATTATCAGTTTATATCCTCTGTGATATCTAAAAGGAATATAAAGGAACAAATGGTCATAGAGCAGGTTTTCAAAAAGTAATTATGGCTGATTTAATATGTTACTAATTGAATAAAAATCTATTAAGGATTGAAAAAGCAAATATACCCCCTCTCTGAATTCTTGTGAAAATATGTAATTTTAATTCTTTCCAGCCTATTTCTTGAAAGGCAGCATCAATATGGAAAATTAAGCTACCTACTTAGGTGTTTATTATAAATAGCTGGATAATAACTTGATCCACTTAAAGGGCATGACTGGTCACCACAGCCTTCTTTGCTGCATTGCGGGTGTAGATGCTCTTGAATGGTGGGGTGGAGTGACTGACAAGGCCAGTTGAACATCTCTCCTTCCACTTGTGGCAAGTGGGAAGAGTCAGCTCTCCTGTACCACATGCAATGTTAAAAGTGGCCACGAAAGCATTTTCTTCAGAATGGGTTTTAGTGTAACATGGAAGATAGGAAGAAATAAAGCTAAGTATATATGGTATGAGAAACTACTTTCACCTTATTACCTGCAATTTGTGAGCAAATGAAAATGTTTCTCCTACCAAGCGCTTACTCCACAATGGTTTGCATTCTGACACGGAATGACACATATGTTGGATAGCTTTTCAGAGGAGAATAAATATTTCTACATAAAGCGCTAGTTGAAAGAGAAATCCTGAATCTCAACATAGCCTTGCTCTGATTGGCTGCTGACTAATCCTGGTATTACCCCTGGGATCTGACCAGAAGACTGACCTTGAATTCCTCACAGAACTTCAGGATCATCACCCACTCTGTGACTCTACTACACAAGTTCATGACAGGGTCCTCCAGAAATACCCATCCACTCCCAGGAAGACACATGCCCCTTCAAACCAGAAATGGTCTCCAAAACCCAAAGGTGGCTGTTCAATTTGCTGCCATTCAACCCTCGACTCTGCTGTTCAGCTTCACCCAGGAAGCTTTCTTGCAAAAAGCAATGACCTTTTCTCTGCAAACAACGAAGCGCGTGCTTTTCAAAGCACCACTGCCTCTGTGGAGCTTCCTTTAATTCAAAGCCCTGAAAACATGCAAGGCACATTACCATTCCTGCAAGGCTGGGTGAGCAGAGAAATGTCACAATGAAATCATTCAACATGGACACTATTTGTGGAAGTTCCATCCTTTTGTTAATGAGCACCTCATTAGCTAAGACTGTGTCCTTCTAACTGAATGCTCAGTCTTATATGATATTTAGAGTATGGCATTTTGATTTATGTCGTCATGCACTTAGAGTAATCTTTCTATTTTTGTACCAGCACTGCAGCTTGAGTTCAAAGCCTGGGAGCTCTACCACAGCTCCGTATACTAAATGAAACACATAGGGCTAGCTTTTCTCTTATTTATCATTCTTTCTTATTAATCATTTTATCTCATTCAGCATTTCATTGGACATAAGTACAATTCATGTTCTAGATGAAATCTCTATACATTTATTCAACTATAATTATCGAAAGAACACTTGCCATTTTTTTCCACTAAAAGATGTCCCTAAGCCATCCATCCATTCATTCAGGAAAGATTTTTTTTCACCCCTTTACCTTCCCCCACCCCATTTGGCAAGTTCTTCTTTTAAAATTACTGTTTCATTAGTTCATGCAGCCATTCAGCAACTTTGGATAAGGTCATGTCATTTCTCTGCAGCTTCGTGTTTCACACGAGTAAGAAGATACCCTCACACCCCTGTGAGGGCCTAGGTATGTCCCACCTTCCCCCTCCCCTGCAGATGAGAGCAAGGGAGACAGAGATCCTTGAGGCCAAGGTCTGGGCCAACCAACTGACATAGTGGTTTTAAGATAGTGGAGCATTAGTATTCATATCATACTCCGCTTTGTGAATCTATTAAGACTAGTGATTTGCTGTTGGTTTTTCTGTAAGATGTTTCTGACACTTGAACACACTCTTGTAGACCAGTTGAAATATAATTCAGTGATAACCAAAATCAGTTTTTTTCCCATAAATATTTTTTATAAAACAGGAAATACTAAAGATTTGGAAGTGGCGAAATATGACTACAATAGTTCCCTCCTCTAAGCTTTGCTTTGTGCCTGTCCATTACAACAGCCAACTAGAGGAAGAAACCAATCTGGAAAGGCTGGAGAATTTCTCCTACATGATTCCAAGTGTGTGGCATCCCAGGAAAGATAATTAGTAAAAACAAAACCTTGTTCAGATATTTTCCATTTCCATAGATTATTTCAACAAGGTGTTGCTTTTACTATTGCTTTTACTATTTTATCATTGGAGTATAACACAATAGGCCAAACAGAAAATATAAAACACATATCTGTAGAAAATTGTACAGTTTCTTTCAACATTTGTCAAATTTTACTTATAAATGTTAAAAATTCAGTCATATTGTATTTGTGTGGGGTTTTTGTTTATTTGTTTTCTGTGCTGATCCTGGGACTTGAATTCAGGGCCTGCCTGGTCATTGTCCCTTGGCATATTTGCTCAAGGCTAGTACTCTACCACTTGAGCCAGAGCTCCAGTTCCAGTTCTGTGTGTGAGTGTGTGTGTGTGTGTGTGTGTGTGTGTTGGAGATAGGAGTCTCATGGACTTGCATGCCTGGGCTTCCTTCAAACTAGGATCCTCAGATCTCAGCCTCCTGAGTACCTAGGATCACAGGTATGAGCCACTCGTGCCCAGCATGTATTCACATTTCTGAGTCTGTAGTTGGTTTATCAAATTTGAATTTTAGTGAATGTGTTAGGGGAAGTTCAGAGATTTTGTTTCAGAATTTTTAGGGATGCATTGAAAAATCGATTTCCAATGAGTTAATTCTTCTTTGCCTAAAGCACATGCAGATGGCAAATATGATATAATGATAAAGATATTCAGAGATTATTTTGAAGCTACGTGAGGTCCTGGTCACCCATGTATTTACATATCACTATAGAAGAACATGCTTTAATGAATAATGCAAAACTAGGAAGAAATAACCTGCTGCTGCTATTAAAGAGCTATATCCATTTACTCGGGAAGGGGTGGAATCAAAAGGAGTGGAGCGTTCACCGGGATAGATTCGCAGCTTTCTCCTCTTCTCAGCAAGAGGCCATTACCCAGGGCCTCACCCATTACCATCAGCCTGCCATTGTCTCTCTGCTGTGGATGGTCACATTGTCAGGAGTCAGGTAAGAGCTGTTTCCAGGAAAGGTTCATTATCTCTTCTCTTGCTCCGTTATACACTCATGGTTTTACATAATTACCACTGAAGGACTATTTTCCTGTTGTCTGTGGATGTGATTACATTACATTAACCAACATCTGATAATACTTTAAAGTACATTACCTGGTGGAGCTCAGGATCTGAGTCAAGCCAAAAGCTCTACATACTACACAGAGGTTTCTCTCGCTGCTAATTACATTTAATACCAGATGGTATCTTATGAAACTCAACTTTTCTATAATGACTGAAAATAATTTGAAGACTCGGAGCCTCTCTTACTTTTTCATTACAGAATGTGCAGTCTTTTCCCACAACCTTGTTCTGGAACATTAAGAAAGAAGACACGGAGACAAAGAGAGGCGTGGAGGACCCCTGCTACTGTGTCTATAAACAACTAGTGGTGTTTAAAGGCTAATAAAGCTCCAAAGAGCTCTCTTATAACCATCATCTTTGGGCCAATTTAAAAATATTTGAGATGGAGAAACATCAAGAAAAATAGAGACAATTTCTTAAGATATGATTCTCTTTTCCCAGCCCCCATAAAAGATCATATACATATATATATATATATATATATATATATATACACGTGTATATATCATATATATGACTGTTGTATAAGGGGCAGTTTGGAAATTCCACAGCCCAAAGGCAATGCAAGAAGAATGAAGGAAAAAGAAAAAGAATAAATCTTTCATATTTTTTTTCAAAGGCTTGGCACAAAACCAGGGGTAATATTTTTGCAACTGGGAATGTGTGTTTGCTGAAAAATATTCCCACATTCTAACCATCATCAGGGGTCCTCATCTTGTTTTACTTTCAAAGGTAGAGAGGGCACAACATTAACCCCAACTGGGAAAAGGAAAATGCCTCGCTGTAATTCTCCTCCAGGGAACAGGAATAAAAGGATTACATATGCCTGCATAATGGAGAATTTCCTCACCCACACAAGACAAAAGACTTCATTATTTTTCACCAGACATTTGAAGCTTTGTGCCCTCCCCCTTCTAGGAGCTGGGTAGACAGATCCTTTTTTTTTTTCCAATATGAAACCACTAGATGGAGTTTCTAAGAAACTGGCCTTCTCTGACATGCCAGTAGGAAGAGAGACAGCAAAGATGTCAGAGATCTTGGCCTCTCTGCCCTCTCCCCTGACTTTCCTCCAAGAAAAGCAGGATGGTCCCTAAAGACAACAGCATGTTTTCTCAACTACATTAGCTTGGCTTTTTCTTCTGAGCAGCAAATAAATGAACATTTTCTTCTAGAAAATATACTTTTTATTCTTCTATGAAATCCAAAAGGCATCTGAAACTTGATGAAAAATTGAAAGTGGCAAAATAGGATTTCATTGAACATGTGAGGACTTCTCTTCCTGAGTAGGGCTGTTTCCAAGTAACTTGAATGGTGCATGCATCTTATTTGTTGGGTGACAGATGAAAGCTTCCCATTCCTAAGTCTGTCACAATATCAGTCTTGCCAGCACATTGCTACAAGATGGGC